CTGAATTAAACTTATAATGATTTTAAAAATGAGATAAGAATTTTTAACACTGATTTTGAACAAACAATTACTTTACTAATCAGTTAATAAATTATACTGTATATAAAAATAAAAACTTGTCATAAGATAAATGCAACTTTTATCTTATTTAATATATAGTTTGAAACATTTAGATTATATTAAAAATCAATATTTAAAATAAATAACAGATTAAATGGCTTTGGATTCCTATACACGGGAACTGATGCCGGGCCCGGAAATGCCGGTCTCTGGGATCAGGTGTTAGCACTGAAATGGGTGAACGATAATATCCAGAATTTTGGTGGCGACCCCACACAGATAACCGTATTTGGTGAGAGCGCCGGAAGCATAACTACCAGCGCTATGATCCTATCGCCCATAACTCGCAATCTATTCAAAAACGCTATAATGATGTCGGGGTCGGCGTTGGGCGACACAGTAGGCGATGCCTCCCAAATGACCCGGTATTGGCTCAAGCAGTCTAAACAAATGGGTTGTAGTGACGATAGAAATCCCGGAAAATTCACACAAAAAGTCATAAACTGTTTAAAGACTATAAGCGCCGACAGGTTATTGAACTACACCTCGGGATCCCTGGACTCTGTCGCCGGAAATCGTGTGAAAGTCGTGTCTCATATTGTAGTCGACGGGGAATTCCTACCGGAAAAGCCTTTAAAAATGCTAAAATCGGGAAACTTCAAGAAATCCCTAAACCTTATGATCGGAAACTGCGAGGACGAGGGGTCATTCATATTGGCGCTGGTGGTCGACCCCAAAAAGTTTTCCCCCAATAACCCGCCTCCTATGACATATCCGGAAGCTTACGGCACATCTCAGGCCCTGTTCTCAGCGCTCGACGAGACACCGGCCATCGATGGCCAGGAAGTGTCTAAACTATACTTCACGGGTCTGTCCGATAAGACACCGCAGGATGTGCTCCGGCGTACGATTGGGAAGGCGTTCGGCGACTACACCATCACGTGTCCGACCA